GGTCAACATGGGAATGTAGGGTAGAAAGTTTGAGACCTCGTCGTGCAAGAAGTTTGCATTTCGAATGGTGAGGCTCCCCAAGGAGCGCGATTTCTTCAAAAAGGCAGCAAAGGAGTCCCGAGGCCATGGCAGATGCAAGTGATTACTTGTAATACTGAGTGAAAAGAAGCAAAGGGACGGTAAATCCGTGTAGTCTATAAAAAGCGAGAGATCACCCTGTTCTCTGAGAGTCAGATGGAGGCACGTAAGAAACGGCAGTGTATATGGTATCATGTTCGTTGGTATCGGGTAAGTGTCGGTGTCCCAGAGTCTAATGGTTAATGACAGGAGATTCGACGCTCGTGCAAGTAATTCAAAGCAATTGGCGAATGTGTTGATGCGGTGACTTGACCACGATACTATTTGAGCCCAAGGTAAGGCGATAATTGTTGGCGGAAAGTGACCGTCCACAGTCACTTTCTTAAGCCGAGGGGCTGTCTCAAAGACATCGAAATGCGGTATTGATTCCTGGGCGTATATCAATGGCGTAGAAAGATCAAGCGTGGCGAGGGTGGACATGCGTCCCCGCGCGGGAGAAAGGGCTTTGAGCATTAACATGGGTAGGCAGAAATGGGCGGATTTCCACCTGTCAGAGTGTTCCAATAGTAGCGTGAGGAGAGGAGAGGAGTCAAAGTAGTCTCCGTCTTCGTGGATGACTGATACTGCTAATGGATGGTGGCCGGACCTGGGGGTAAATGCTTGCACCAAGCTCATGACACTCGAGAAGGCGCCCCTCCGCAGATCCACATGTATATTCGCCCAAAGTTTCGGGGTTGTGAGGGCTATTCTCCTCCATCGTCGGTTGATCTGCGCCACTAGTAGCGGCCGATGCCAGGGATCCGCCCGCCATCCTTGTGGGCTATTGGGAAAGGATTCGATAAATATTTCCGCAAGGATTTCTGGCGGTAACTTTCGAATCGGGGCAACCAAAGATTTGTGGGTTTGGGCCAGGGAACTCAATTCGCTGCGCTCCTGTGTTAGCCGGTTGAGCAGATCTGTCGCTTGGTGGATTTCGAAGTCAATATCTGACATTTGCGCCTGCAACTGCGCCAAGAAACTGTGGATTAGATCCACTTCTGCAGGAGAAGGATTGACATCACGGGCCAAAAGGCTCGGCACGGGAGAAATGAGGGGTGTACGAGATCCGCCTCCTGGGTTCGAGTTGTCCATCATTATGATCCAAGGTCCCAGCTAGCTAAGGAATTGAGACATGACGGATTCAATTCCACCGTTCCACGGGTAAAAAATAATCCGGATTTGACTCACCGCCGATATTGATTTCTACCTTTGAATTCAAGTTCCACTGACGGAAGACTTGCCAAGAGATTTGTGAGCCTCACGACGTTCGAACGCTACTAAGCGCTGTCCGGTGGTCGACGGTTGTGGAAGACTAACATCGATGATGTAACCTTACTATATTAAATCAGTCAGCTCTGTGTGAGCCTGCGTCACTGATAGTGACGACTACTAGTACTTGCCATCCCCATTTTCCGAAGAACTCGATCCATAGCGGCACTTGTCGCTGCACTCCGTGTTGGCAACTTTGCCCAAGAGGATCCTTGTTAGTAGTGGGTTTACCGACCTCCGGTGTCCCCATGCGTGTCGACGGTTCTAAGCTCACTACAATAACTCAGGCTCTACCTTTCGGCTTCGTTCGACAAAATCATAATATGGGAGGTAAGTTTGCCGGATTCACCGATTCGCGGGTTTAACGGCTCTATCGCAGTCATTCTAAATCGTTTTTAACCCACTCCACCACGGGATCGTGAATAGAATAGTCTGTTCGCGGCCGGGATGACCATATTTACGACCCATTTACCCCGGAAGTTTACTAGCCTATCGTCTGGACCTTCATAGCGTCTATTTCAGCCCTACGCCCGCAAGATGTGTGTTTTTTTATGGACTTCCCATGTGTCGCATCAGTTAATATCAATCACAAGATGTAATGCCCATGTGGGGACATATGGAAAGAAAATGGTTCGCGCCAAGCACCATATGCGTGGCATCCCAATCGAATGTAAACATATCCCATGTCACCAGTTGAGGAACCCGACTCGCCATCTTTAGTAGTCGCTGCTCTAATCGGCTACCAGCTTAATGTGGACAAAAGTTCGCGAAACAATTATATTACTTGTCCGCACTTCCCATGCGTTCCAAGAATTCCTTGCCCTATACCGAGGCGAATGGCCTATAGGGGCTACTTCGCCGACTTCTTCACCCCCAGCGAGAAGCCTGTCCCCCAGATCAACCGAGCGATCCTCATGTATCGACTTGACGGGATAGTATAAGAAGAGCGCACCTGTAACGCCATTTCCCAACCAACCTCCGGTTCCTACCAGAGATTCTTTCTCCCTCGCCATGATAGTCCCCCGCGTCGTCGCCCTGGCCTTATTCTTGGCCTCCTCTACTGCACCAACTGTTGCTGATCCGGTTCAGAAAGCCGGCTTGAGACTTCCGTCAAGTGCCGCCGGACATCGCGATGCTGTCAAGCAGATCTTCATCGACAGCTACCAGGCATATCGGTAAGTTCTAGTAGCCCAGCGTGCCTTGGCATCTTACATACCTCTTTTTAGAAAGTTTGCCTTTGGCCATGACGATCTGTCCCCATTGAGCACTAGTGAGAATAGTCTAGCCTTATGTATCTCTGGTGTTTAATTTGTTTAGGTTTCAGTGACGGTCGCAACGGATGGGGTATGTTTTACGACAAGATTCTAGAACGAAAACTTACTTGAAATCGAAAAGGCGCGTCCATCGTGGATGCTATGAGCACTATGGTCTGCCCGTTCATATGAGTGCCTGCCTGATACTAATACATCTAATAGCATATCATGGGTTTGAATGTGCGCTTTAAAGGATCTCATATATATTTCTTCTCATCACTCTACTACAGGATTTTTTCACTGAGGCTGTGAATTTTTCGAGCCACATAGACTTCAGTGTCTCCCAAACATCCGACACTGTTAGGTGGGATATTCAACATATTCATGGTTCAAAACTCACCATTTTACCAGCCTCTTCGAGACTAGCATTCGCTACCTTGGGGGGCTTCTTAGCGCATATGAATTAAGCGACAACAAGTTCCCCGTTCTCGTTCAGAAGGCGAAAGAAGTCGCCGACAAAATGGCTTTCGCGTGGGTTGGCGTGAGTGGTTTCGAATCGCAATGCTGTTATTGCTGACATGTTGATCAAAGAACAACGATATGCCATTTGGTTTCATCGATTTTTCGACCAATGCGCCAACTGAAACATCTGTATGTTATTCTTTCACTAGCCAAACACCATTCTAAGCCTACACAAATAACCAGTCCAATATTGCCGAAGCTGGTACCGTATGTTTGAAAGAATACACCCTTTTTTATATGCTAAGGATGTTGTAGCTGTCGCTCGAATGGTCAACTTTGACGAAACACACGGGCAACCAAACCTACGCTGATCTTTCGGTAAAATCCCTTAGCCATATTGCTAATCTCGTAAGCCCTACACTTGTTCTCGCTTCCATGTCTTACCACGGGACCTCTGCTGCAGGTTGCGCCGCTCCCAGGTTTGTCATGCGCGGGATAATATTACTGATGAAATTCTGATGTTATGTATTTTTAGGCCTTGCCGCACAAGGAGTTGATCCGACGAGTGGAGACTTTGTTGGTGCATTCATAGTGAGTGGTCTATTTTCGCTACCTATACCCTATTTCTAAACGCCCCAGACTTGGGGGGGAGGATCCGACAGCTATTTCGAATATCTGATCAAACACGCCCGCCTATCGAACACTAACAATAACCTCTTCGCTGATACATGGCACACTGCAGTGGACTCGTCCATAAAAAATCTACTCAGGGTATGCGGCACATTCCATCTTTCCCGAGTTGCATGCGCTGATCATTGTTTCCGCGTAGACTTCGACTGTTGGGAACCACGTATACCTCGCCGACTTCGACGATTCGCAGCAGATCAGGCATGTAGGTTCACACCTTGCTTGCTTCAACGGCGGGAACTGGATTTTCGGTGGGTATCAGGAGATTGGTCGGTGTTTACGTCCACTGAATCAAATGCTTCCACTTCCCAGGGGGTAAACTCTTAAACAACCAAACTATCGTCGACATCGGCCTCCAGCTAGTTGACGCATGCTGGAACACCTATGCTAGCACCGCGTGAGTTTTTCACCAAAGTTCTATCCGCGATACTTGGGCCGACCTATATTAGCACCGGCATTGGGCCCGAAACGTTCAGCTTCATCTCCGCGGACGGGGACTTTACCGGTGGGGGGGACCCGTCCCCAGACCAGCTAGCCTTCAATGCGAAGCACGGTTTTTATATCACCACACCCGACTACATCCTCCGCCCGGAGGTCCTTGAATCCAACTTCTACGCGTTCCGTGCGACTGGGGATACCAAATATCTGGACCGCGCCGCGAGTGCGGTCAATAGCTTCAACACCTTCCTGCGGACCAAGACTGGATTTGTGGGTTTGGACGACGTAAATAATAAGAATTCGACATTGATCGACGATACCGAGAGCTTCTGGTTCGCGGAGGTCCTGAAATATTTGTGGGTATCTCCTGCATTCAAGCATCATCTATCACTAATTTCTGGAGCAGGTACCTTACATTCGACGACCCCAACCATATTAGTCTCGATGATTGTATGTCCCTCTTACCCACTTACATGATGAAGCATTGCCTGATTGCGCACAGATGTTTTCAACACAGAAGCCCACCCCTTCAAGGCTCCCCGCGCCAAGCCGCGTTACGGAAGCGGTAATCTCATCATACCCCCTCAACCATTCAAGACCCAACAAGGACCACCCCTCCCACAAATCAGCCCCAACCGCTTCCTGCCTGTGCCCCTCAAAAACATCATTAATCCCCAGTGATAGTAGTTGATTAGGATGTATTACTTTGAGTCTTGTTTATGTAAATGGGATATCCAGTTATCTTCGTCTGACAAGGATTTCAAAAAGTCTGAGAGACCCGACCGTGATTTGAACACGGGACCCTGCGATGGAAGAATGGAAACTGCAATCGCATGCTATAACCACTTAGCTATCGAGTCTTCGGCCTCGTGCGAGCATAAGTTGATGTCGTCCGTCCAAATCTCCAAAATGCCACATTCTCGCGCCACAGGTAAAAATATCAAGACCCGACCGTGATTTGAACACGGGACCCTGCGATAAGCTGCTTTTTGGCTGCAATCGCATGCTATAACCACTTAGCTATCGAGTCTCTGCTGTTGTCGCGGAGGAAGCGGTTGTGTTCAAACCCACGTGTGTCCTTTCCCACAACTTCGAGTTTACACGTCGACACGATCACCCGAAGCCACGCTCGTCACAATCATTTACCACCACATACCGCTATGCTCCGTTTCGTTTCGTTGCTTTTCCTGGCAGCGCTGGCTCATGCATCGACACTAACGTTGCAGTCCCCTCGTTTCATCGTTACGTCTTCTACAGGCAACCAATTGCGATCCGAGCCGTACGTTTTGGATTGTTGCCTATGATAAGCTATTGACACGCGTCCTTGACCTCTTAGGATTTCATTGGCACAAAAGACCTCCGTTCCCGTGTCCTTGACTCAAACCGACATCCTAAAGCTCACGTTTCAAATAGTCGAGAAGGACAGCGGCAATGGTGTCCTACCCCACCAGACGTTCCTCCGCTTCTACGATGAAAAGTCCGGGGAGGAAGGAATTCAACCAATTCGTGTTGCAACTTCTGGAAAGGCCAAGTTTGAACTCGTACGTGCCCCAACCGCTGCAGACGTGGCAGAACCTAACTTTACTCCTAGAATATGTCCAAGCCTCCTCTGTCCCTTCCCCCCACTTCCACAAACCCGCTAAAAGTATCCCTGATTGTTGGGTCTTCACTTCACACCCCCTTTACAACTGAGCTCTTTGACCTTACTATCCCTGCCTCTCACCCACCCCCGCAACACCCCGACGAACCTAGCTTCCATCTTCTCCCTGAGATCCACCACACCTTCCGCCCAGCGCAAAAGCTGCCGCCGAAGATTATCTCCGCGTTCTTCTCCGCGCTTGTGGTCTCTCCATGGGTGGTTCTACTTGGATTGGTACGTCCCTACCACCCTACCCAATTTGTATTCTCACCTATCGCGAACAGTGGTCTCAGGTGTCGCCACGACCCGCCCGCCTGTTTTCTCCTAGCATCCTGCCATTTATTTCCACCCTAGGCGCTTTCGAGGTTCTCCTCGTTTGGTATTGGGTTGATTTGAAGCTTGGTCAGGTCTTGTTATACGGCGCCGTTCTCGGCCTGGTCACGATTTTTGCTGGAAAACAGGCTTTGGCAAGCATCGGTGACCGACGGGTTGGCAGGAAGTAGCTTACAGACATGTACTGGGGATGTAAAACCGTTGGTACGAGTGCTCATTTGGATGTCCTTATATTCAGGAAAGTACAATAGTATCATCTTGCTCGTAGATGTAACTATGGGTATTGAAGTGCTTGACTCGAACTTTCGGAATGTAATATAGATGAGAAAAAAAATCAGACCCGACCGTGATTTGAACACGGGACCCTGCGATACATTGTGCGTTGACTGCAATCGCATGCTATAACCACTTAGCTATCGAGTCACCGAAAATGTAGGACCATAGAGCTTTAAAGTATATTCCTATTATTGCTTTCCGGCTTTGGAGTGCGCTGCTTACATAAACTATGTGTACGCGTGAGGCGACGCGTCAGCTTGACCGGAATCGAAACTGATTAGCACCATGGCCGACGTCGAGATGAAGCCTGCGGACGACAAAACCAAGGGGGGAAAGTCGAAGGAGACAAAGAAGCCTGATGAAGAAACTGAGCCGACACCCCCACCCTCCCCAGTCGCTGAAATTAAAGCCAATATCGCTCTCATTGAACGAGCCGTCTCTACCCTCGAGCCCCGATTCACTCACCGTGTGTTGCGCACACTGACCGCGCTGAGGAAACGGATAGATAGCGTGGTATTGCGAAATGCTATAGAAGAGGTTTACGCGAAAAGTTGGCAGCATTATCCCATTCGTTTTACCATCTAATTCTCATAACCCAGACACCCCGTGAAGACAGTCCTCCTTTCATGGATCCCACCAGCCCCTGCTAGCCAGTCAATGGACATTGACCCAGCCCCCACCCCACCCAAATCGTCTTCCCCCGAACCAGTGCCAGAGGGAGAGATCTACCTCCGTCTGCTCATACTACATCACCTCCAGAAATCGCCAGAAACATATGGCAAGGCCCTGGAACTTGCGCATGAAACTGTGGAAAAGATGCAGGCATTGAATCGCAGAAGTATGGATCCGATAGCTGCCAAAATTTGGTTTGCCGTCGAACGCGCGTATGAGCTTGCCGGTGAATTAGCAGATGCGCGCCCGTGAGCTATCTCAACCCGTACACCCTACCTTTCATATTAATTAGTATGCGTCAGGCTCTTCCTCGCAGCCCAGCGCACTGCCTCGCTCCGTCATGATGATGACACTCAAGCGTCCCTAATCAATCGCCTGCTGCGCAGTTACGTGCATTATAGCCTCTACGATCAAGCCGACAAACTTGTCTCAAAAACTACTTTCCCTGCATCGGCCGGTAATCCTCAATTTGCCCGCTATCATTACTACTTGGGCCGTATCAAGGCTGTCCAGCTAAATTATACTGCGGCGCACACAAACCTCCAACAAGCAATTAGGAGGGCACCTCCACCCAAGGTTGCACCTGGGTTTTATCAGGCGGTGCATAAATTCTTTGTGGTTGTGGAGCTACTCATGGGGGATATTCCGGACCGAAGCCTGTTCAGACACCCGGTACTCGAGAAGGCCCTTAGCGCGTATTTCGAAATCGTAAAAGGTATGGTTGATTTGGAGCAAAATATTTACTGAAAGTAATTTTGACAATATGCAGCGGTCCGCACTGGTTCCCTCTCACAGTTCCAGACCACCCTTTCCAAACACGCCTCCCAATTCGAAGCCGATAAGACATACACTCTCATCGTGCGGCTCCGCCAGAATGTCATCAAAACTGGAATCCGCAGGCTGTCCCTCTCCTATCAGCGCATCTCCCTCCGTGACATCTGCGTCAAACTCCACCTCGATTCGGAGGAAGATGCCGAATACATTGTGGGTAAGGCTATCCGTGATGGTGTGATTGAAGGCCGGATCGTGCACGAGAAAGGCTGGATGGAATGCGGTGGAGTCAAGGACGGCTATGGCCCTGAAGTTAGCGACGTCTTCCAGAGGCGAATTGGCTACTGCCTTGAGCTCCATAATCAAAGCATCAAGGTGAGCTCTTCCGCACATATCCGGTCCGGGGTAGTAAGTGTATCGGTGTCCCATAACTTTAGGCGATGCGGTACCCGCTTAACGCCCACCGCAAAGAGCTCGCGGCCGCTGAAGGTGCACGAGAGCGCGAGAAGGAGCTCGCCAAGGAGATACAAGGCGATATGGATGATGAGGACATTGGCGGAGACTTTTAGATCTACTTCGCGTTGGCCAATTCCAAATAAAAAGTGTTACCCGGATCCCATTTCAGGAATTTCGTGATCCAGATTATGCGCACGTTAACTATTCAGATCCACAATTGGTTCACCACGAAGCCGGGGTTCACGAAGCCACTCAAACTTAAAGTAAGTACAGGACAGTTTGATCGTGACGCGACGATGATAGTCACGTGACAAATATCCAATTCAAAAGTCCGCCAGCTATGGTATCATCATTTCAGCTGACTTGCTTGCAACCCTCAAAACGCTAGCTTCATCCTTCCCAGCCCTATTGTCCATGTCTATCCTTGGGCGAATCTGGCAGAATATCAGGCCTAGGAGTCTTGTAAGAACCTTTATTCCATCTTCACACCCACCCAACAAAGCTTAGGGCAGGAAAAAAGCTACGATATGTAGGCAGAGATCTTGAGGGTATGCTGCTTCACGTTGCACTTCCTGGCTTTTTCGAAATTGACTACAGGAAATCGGTTTTATGAGCATCCCAGCTCGTCTAATGGTAGGTTATCATCCATATCCCACATTTCGTGCTTCCTAAATGATTTACACAGACCCACGTCGCACCAAAAGGACTGTACAGTATGGAGACCCGGAGGCTGTGTGGCACTACATTGGAGGAGGCAGGAGGCTCCCAGGTACGATTCCCCTGGATATGGAGCGGTTTAAGAATATCTAATCCGTGCGCAGTCCAATGGTCTGCCTGGCTGTCCCACACGAGGGCCAACCCACCAACACTACAGGTGAGGAACAGGCGTCTCAGGTGTGTGTTTTGAACGAGGCTGATAATCGTATTGCAGGAACTGGAGGTGGATATGGCGCGACAACAACGCATGCAAATGAAAGTTGCAATGATACAGGCGCGAGACCTCGAGGACCAAAAACAAATGCTTCGCTTGGCCCAATCTCCACCCTCGAATACACTTCCCCCACCCACACCTTCTACTGCTGGGAGTAACTCTTCTGCTGGCTCGTTACCGGCGCCAGCACCTGAGCTTAAACAAGCGTTACCAAAGATGGCCACGACTGAGGATTCATACAAACCAGAGTCATGGTCCCCACGTTCTCGTGGTAGGGCAGGGGGTTCATAAATATTTCGTTGTACTATATGGTCTTTAAATTTTAACTATCAAAGGCCTCACATAAAAGAGCATAAGGCCACTGCGGAACAGTATGAGGACTGGGATGTTTTAGCCCCTAGGAGATTTGAAAAGCGGTGACCTTGAGATTCCGATGTCAAATTGGAATGTTCGGCCCAAGAAATTTTCATGGGGCCTGTATATGTTTACTCCAAGCAGCCCCACCATCCTCACATTGGCCGGGGCTTTCCTCTACCAACAAAAAATCAGGTGGCCACCGCTTTGTGGCCATGCTTCTCAGGTGTTGAGCGTGGTCCGCCTGGTGTTTATGATTTCAAAACTTGGCCACCACGGCCATGTACTACTACTGGCACGACATCAAACGATGGCTACTTGACTGTTTGAAAAGATTCCTCACGACCAACCCTTTCGCCCTCAACATACCGCATCTGAGACGTCTACTATCTTCAATTCTACGGCGATGCCTTGCCATGTTTAAATGCAACAACGATCCCCCTAGAGGCAAGAAAGAAATCTCAGGGATTGACTCTCCCCCTCCCAGCGTAGCGGTATCTGAAGAGATACCCGAGGCTTCGTGCTTTCCTCAGCATGATGGTGCACAACCCTCGACGAACATACCATCGCTCGCAAGTCGTGCACCCCAGTCCCTCCGCCCATACATTATTTCTGGAATGAATGCTTCCAAATCATCCCAAGATTTAGGTGCGATAGCCATGGAAGAGCATTCCCAACGACGTGTATCCCAATTTTCACAGCATCTCATTGTACCCCTACCCGACGACAATTCCTCCTGGAGCTTCAACCCCACTCAAAGCTCTGGCCCAGTTGACGCCGCTGTTGTATCAGTTCCAAGTAGCACCAACTCCCACCCACCGGACTCTGTTGCAGATGCGATACCTATGGAGGAACGTCGTGTATCTCGATTGTCTCAACGTCTCAGTACGCCCCTACTCGATGAGACCTCCTCTTGGAGCTCCAACCCCGTTCAGGGCTCGGGTCCCGTCGATGTTGATATTGTAACAGCGCCGAGTCATATCGCCTCCCATCCGCCTGACACTGTACCACGCGTGGGGACACCAGTAATTCGTCCCTTGCAACACCTTTCCGATATTTACCCCAGGTTTTTTCCCATATCCCCTGAAAGCTTTGGGAGGTATGACAGAAATATAACGATGTGAATATGTTTCCGCCCACTGAAATGCATATTGACGGCTAAACCCGCCCTAGACTAGATGAACATACTGAGATGATACTTGATGCTATGACCACGGAATTTAAAACGTCAGTGTTGTGTTTGTGCTCATTCACAGCGATGAAATTGATGAAGACAGTCAACATAATCCACCCGGATGGGAATCCCATGTGCATCCTGAAGGAGCCCCGTATTTTTTTCATCCGGAAAAAGTAGGCAATTGCCTTTTTTTTATGAGTGCTCGCTGACGCTGGCGCTTTGGACAGAGAGTTTTGACAGAGGCAAACCTTTATGACGAAACGACTTTCGTCCAGATCCACTGCGACATCAAGACCATCGATGATTTTCTTCGAGCACAAAATATCAGATTACCCCAGGGGGCAGACCTCGTTTTGGACTTGCTCCCCAGTCCAAGTGGGGGGACCATGACCGGATATTATTTTGCAGACTACACCAATCGATGTTTCTTCTTCTTAGATAGCTTTGACACTGCCAATACTACAGGCTGCTCAAGCGTAACAGGTGTAACATCCATTGCTCATGTCCGTAGGTGTCCGTCTACTTCTGAGCTCGTCCTTTGATCCTTTCTCATGTGTGTCGATATCAAGGACACGAGATAGAAGCCAACTATTGGTGATAACTTAGCTTAGGTCACTTCACGTTTTATTGCATTCTTTCAAGGGTCTAACTTCATTTAGCAGGCTCTCAACCATTGTCTGATGCTTTGAATCAGGTATCACTGTTTCTTGTTCCCAACAATTTGCGAACTCAAAGCTGAGATGGTGGACGAATTGCGCGACATTGTTTTGCACGCCATGGGAGGTA